TTTTTTTTTTTTTTCTGGTATTCCTGTTGTTAGAAGCAGGGGGGAAAACAAACGAATATGCCTTAGTTTTTTTTCTTTGTTTGTCGTAGAAATGAGATAAAATTTTGAAACTGTACATAAGTTGCCCCTTATATTTGATAACGTTAAGGTGTGTAAGTTGATGATAGACGGACAATACTGCAGCTTTTTATCCTCCAGTTACATTTATTGTTGTTTCCCGTTCCCCATTTGTTTGTGATACTGTTGCTCACTGACTTTTTTTTGACCTGAATTTGAATTAAAATAAAAAGAGGGAGGGAGCGAAAAAAAAAAGAGGAAAACTGGTTAAAAACATTGCAACCCTTGCGTATCCTGTTCTTTATGGCCAATAGGAGATAATAGTTTGTAGTTCAGATCTTGTTTGGTTGTTCTTTGTGATCATCAACATCATCATTTTTTACTTTCTTATTACTTTGCCTTCCATTTTACCTTCACCTTTTATTTGTTAAAAGAAAAAAATTTTTTTTTTTTAAAAGTTTGCTGCTGCCAAAATAATCTGTAGTCTCTGCCGCAGCGGCAAAAGAAAAAAAAAATAAAACTTTTGGGTCTAATTTGTGTTGTACTTTGATCATTGGAAATTCGTGGCAGTATATTTCGTGTCGGTTAAGTTTTTTTTCTGGATGTGATTTACAACTTTTTAGAAACGGAACGCTGTTGCCAGATTTCATGTCTCTTATAACAAACTACAAACATTTTATAGTGCTCTAGCTGTTATACTTTTTGTCCATGTATTAAACAAACTGAAAACCTTTTGAAAATAACACCAATTATTAACGCATGTAACAGCTCATTCAAATGATTTGTTGCCTTTCTAATTTTCTTTGCATGTGCGGATGGATTAGAGAATGGACACATCGCCAAAACAGTTTGGCGGCTGGTTTTTTTTTGTATCAACAGTTCACCTTTGCCAATGGTTTTATTACTTGCTACAGGTGGTGGCAAAACGGATGCATCATCATCGCGCGTCAAGGAAAGAGAAAAAAGAGGATAGGCAAAAAGAGGTTGCTGAACAACTCTTGTGGAGAACATTTATGCGGAATTATAAAGTCTGTATGATGATCAGCAGCACGATATCACAAAAATAAAATAACAGCCGTGCAAGTTAAACAATAGGGGAAAGCTTCCGACAAGTGAAAAAAACAACAGTCTCATCTTGTTCAGTTTGTTTACAACTGATTATATACACGGACGCCAACACATCAACACATTCTGTGATGCATAATTCTGCGAAGGAATACTGAGTGCAGCTACTTTTTGTGCGGTGCTCTGAAGAAGTGGGAAATACAAATAACGAAGCAACAAGGTCCACAAACCTTGAATGATGAAAAAAAAATAACTAAGGTGAGACAGTCTCTGCCACGCCGTCAGCGTTTGCACTCAACTGCTGTAGTTGACTTCTCAGCTCGCAGTTCTCTGCAAGTAACTGGTCGTTTCGCCGTTGCAGCTGAACGTTCTCTCCGGCGTACACTTCAGCGTCTTGTAGTCTTTTTTCAAGTTCTACTTGTCGTCGTACCATCAGTTCCAGTTTCTCTGGAAAAAGAAAAAAATGGTGGTTTCTTTTTTCTGGGATTTCACACCAGCGAGTTCAATCACGGTCTCCTTCAGCAGCATTTCTATACATACACAAAGAAAAAAATGCTGTAGAACTCTGAACAGTAGTAAAATTACATGCATCACAGTATTAGTCTACCAGATGCGTCTGATCGGTAGCTTCCCTGCTAATTAAAAGCACCATCCGCAGAAACTAGTCATAATGGCATTTGTTATACAACTGCTTCATCCCTACTCATTGCTTTTAATTCCTAAGAGTATAGGAAAGTAAACAAATACGACTTAGGTTGCTTGACAACATCAAAAATTTTATAAAAACGTGTAATGCAACGTACCTTTGAAGGCGTAAAGACGATGTTCTACAGTTGCCATTTCAGTTTTAATATCGAAATCATCGGTGGACTTCATCTGTGTTGTCTTTATATCAACGATATCCGTTTTCTTCACTGAAGCATCACTGAAATAACTGACATTTACTGCTAACAGTACATTTTAATATACCTATATTTGTGGTTCCATGCTTAATTGGATGCTTAAAGAAATAAAAAAACATGAGAAACTGTTCAAAATAAAGTTTAAAAATTATTATGGATTTATGTGCAAAAAAAGCTGACAGTATTGTGAGCAGTTCTTTTTTTTTCTAAGAGTAAGAAACAGCTGTTTTGGAAACCACACCTATCCACTTATGTTGCTTTACATCTATCTTGCTACCTGTCAAGTAAAAGAGCTGCATGGCAAAAAAATATATATATATATATATATATATATATATATAT